AACACAATGTAAATGGTCGAATGATTCCTAATAGAAACGGAAATCATAATAAAGTTTGTATAAATTTCGCAAATATAATCTCTATAAGATAATTATGAAGTTGAACAGTATTACAAAATTATTGATCACTAATGAGTGCATTAGCTAGATTGTAAAATGACTACATTCGAAAATTAAAGAGTATTTTCTGAAATAGTTTCATTTCAAAATATTTAAATGCCTCTTATCTTAACAAATCTTAAAGTAATTATTCGTAGTGAATGAGTGCGACGACGGGGCCGGTGGGTAAAACAATATAATTTTATGATATCTATATGTATCCGAGTGCTCTGTGAAATTAATATGTCATTATGTGTATAGGAATTACTGTAATTATCCATAGACTACGTTATGTGATTCAGCCAGAGAAATGCACTTCTATAGGTTCTAATATTTGTTTAGGATAAGTACTTTATGATATTAAAATTTTACATTAGCATGACGTCACTTGATAATTTATTCAAAACGCAAGTGTAATTTAAAACCTAAAAATCACTGAAAAACGCAGTTAGTATCCAGACAGCATTTGAGTTGCTATACAGAGACAGAAAAAACGTTTTAGATAGCTTGAACGAAGGAGATCCACTCTTCAGGTACTGTAACGACATTTGTTTGATTGCGCAAAACGATTTGTTAGCTTATTTGGTTTAGTTAGTTTGATTTAGTGTGATTTTGAACGATTTATTTTGGAATGTAATAATTGCTGCCGCAGCGAGGTCGCCTGAGCGACCGAGCAAGGCAGCAGTCCTAAATTTGAAATAGCGTGCGAAATCTTGATTTTTGCCAAGAGCGATGCATTGTGGTCACACTTTTCGCAGTTCTTTTTTCAACCATAATGCATTTCGGTTCTTTGAATAAAACCTTCGTGGTCGCAATTGTTTGCTCTTTCACGTTTATGTTTCAAAGACCAAGGTAAGCCGATTTATTCCCTTGTCAAACATTTACACAATTATACTCGTGTGGTAAACATGCAGTCGTATCCTTTTAGATTGTAATACACTGGCGTCGTCTGGAGTTTAACTTTAGGTGAGTTTTTTAGGTTCTATTACTGATCAACTTATAAGTTATTTTAATATACTTTGGATTTACTGTGAATTTAAAATATTTCGTTTTACTTTGTATTTTACTTAGTATATATCCGCGCTGAAATATAAATTCACACGCGCTTAGGCATATTAAAAAAAATCGACCTCGCGTAGTTGTTTGTGTGTACGGATTTTGCGATGCTATCAGGATTTTTTATTCTAAAGCCTATTCTCGATGTACTTCTATGTCTACGAGTTAAATATAAGTTATTGATCGTTTTAGGTTTTAATTTATTATACAGTCTGAACGTTTTGCGTTGGCGTCACATTTCCATATTTCACGAGTTGGAAGTTTACTATATACCATAGAAAGGGTCTTGTTTTACTACGGCTCTACTTATACTTTAAACACAAAAATATTTTATTTTACAGTCGTTCGTATTTTACTTTGTGTATCTGTAAACTGCGCGCTTTACTGACATCAAGAAATTCGACCTCGTGTTAGTCGTGTAGTTGTTTGTGTGGCCTTGCTGCCGCGTATGCATGCACGAAAGTTTTTAATTTCACGTTTTCATTCTGCATTGCCCATTCAGGATTATCTTATCTTATCAGGATTATCTTTATCTTAGTTATATTTTTTACTCAAAACTATTTTGTTAGTCATGGGCGTGTATAAGCGCGCTGTATAATGCGCGCTGTATAGACTTGTGAAGAAATTCGACCTCTACCTCTGCCGTCTACACAGAAGCTTTCAATTTCCGCCATTTGTATTCTACTTTGCCGACAGGATCCTTTATAAATACTTCAAAAAGTTATTTTTGACACAGTTTAATCGTAAGTTATTCACCGTTTTAGGTTTTGATATACTGGCAGAACGTTTCAACGAGAACATACTATATAAAAAAGGGTGAGTTTTTTTAAGCTACCTCGTGTTAGTCGTGTAGTTGTTTGTGTGGCCTTGCTGCCGCGTATGCATGCACGAAAGTTTTTAATTTCACGTTTTCATTCTGCATTGCCCATTCAGGATTATCTTTTTATAAAGGCTTTATCTTAGTTATGTTTTTTACTCAAAAATATTTTGTTAGTCATGGTACTTGGTACTTTGTATAACCGCGCTGTATGTTGCGCGCTTTTCATTCGGATTATCTTTTTGTAAAGCCCTTATCTTATTTATACTTTTAACTCAAAAATGTTTGTTAGTCATGGTACTTGATACTTTACTGCGTGTATAAGCGCGCTGTATAATGCGCACTTTATAGGCTTGTTAAGAAATTCGACCTCGTGTTGTTTGTGACATTGCTGCCGTCTACACAGAAGCTTTCAATTTCCGCCCATTTGTATTCTACTTTGCCGACAGGATCCTTTATAAAGACTTGAAAAAGTTATTTTTGACACAGTTTAATCCTAAGTTATTCACCATTTTAGGTTTTAATATACTGGCAGAACTATACTGTGCTATTTCAGGATGGCACGACCACCCTGTTGCTGTTTGACGACAAACTACAGCAATTATTCAACATCTACAAAGAACAAAACACTTGCGATACCGAGTTTGAGGGAACTGACTACGATTTCCTCATGGAAATTCTTTTAACTGTTGAGGCGAAAGTACTCTTTAACAACAAAAGAAATGTTGTCTCCATAGAGAAACTTTCTACTTCATAACATATATATACAGCATGTTTATATAAACTATATTCTTTAGACGGTCAACATTAGATTGTGCATGACTTTGTTGCCGAAAACACTTCAGCCATTCTTGCCACTTTTTAGAAGTTTTCCATGTACTGTTCTGTTATCTTTGTTCTGTTATCTTTGTTCTGACATTTTAAAATTCCACAGAAACGCTCTTTAGTTTAAATATTTTTTCTATGAATAGAATGTTTCTCCAATGCCTTACTATTTAACAATTTATATAAATTATTTTAGGCAGAAACACTAAATATAACTGTATTGTTGTTTTTCAAGATTATGCGGCAAACTATAAACGTACCTTTACCCCTTAGTTCGGTATTAGGCAGATTTAAAAAGACCTTACGGTCGTCAAATGTCAACTTAAAAATGACGTTCTATCTCCATGCAAGGATACGTCTTTGGCGTCTATATAAATCTGCTTAACATAATGATAAGTACAATTTTTTGTCTTATTTCTGTGACAACTCTGTGTTATGCTATTGAAGGCAGCATTACTACCCTTTGGGTAACCTAGTCTATACAATTGTAAAAATATGATCGGAATGTGCAACACATAATCTTTGTAAATTTGTGACTTTCTCAGAATTATATACGTAAAATTAAAAGGAAATCTCCTCTCGTATCGCAGTTTCGTCTTCCGGGCATTCGTCTAGACCAATATTCACCACCTGAATGCACCAAATTTAGGCCAATTTATTCTGCCTAAATAATTGATGAATTATAGACATTTTTGATAGTTATTACTGTTTTGCAGCAAATTACTGAGTAATTAAACTAGAAGCTATTTCGTATGACACAATCTGTTATCTGAACCCTGAAAAATTAATTGCCGTTCCAATTCGGATAGACAAAACATTATAAATCGTTAAAGGACCAACCGAGACACCAAACACGCAATTAGGAAGTGCTCCAAATATATAGTGTAAATAAGGTTAAAGTTACCCCTTTGACTCGTTACAGGCTTACAGCTTCATACATTATTATAGTTCAGTAGTTTATACGGTATCATTAATTATGTAGTCATGATGTCCTCAGGAGTCGTGGTCCCCGCGTTGGACGTCCTCAGGGGTTTAGCAGCTGCTCCCCAGTATTGGTAATTCACCCAAAAGGTCGATCATAGCTCCCCAGATAGGTATCCTAAATGGCCAAAGGGGTCGTGGATCCCCATGGTGGTCATTGTTTACTTTAAGTATAGACTAAAATGTATGTAGATTAACGCGAGTCTATAATAGGGTCTAAAGAGGGTGACCTTGGGAGCACTCCATCCCCCAGAACCAATATTTATTTACTGAAAAATACATTGAACAAAATGTTGTCCATGTCATCGACAACATCGAACACCTGCTTGAAAGCAAATTGAAATCGATCTCAGTTTACTGAATTTGACATGCTTCACTCCATAACCATCCACACCAACATTTGCAGACGACAGGAACTAAATTTGAAATATGCGGGCAACCCTGCATGAACCATGCATATAATAGAGGAGATGGACGAAAAATCCAGTGTTCAGCATTTGAGAAAGTGTTGCCTTGATGAAAAATTAAAGCTGTATAGCCGACTGTTTAAAAGTATGATCTCTTCTACTGTTCTACACTTCTTCTCGAAAACTTAAATCGGCGCAATCGTTTCTTTATGATGCTTACCGTAAGTACAGTATATACTGTCCAGAAATAACTTAACACTGCGGTTGCGGTATGCATGGTTGCGGTCGACCGATAGAAACCGCAGACGACCGCAAGGGAAAAAATACCTTCGCAGAGGCCATTCGCTTCCAAACGAAATGTTATATGAACAGCTGAGAAGGACAACATAATAACCAAATCGAAAAAAGCTTAACAAATGTCTGCATGTCAGACCAAGTTAGGCCGAGGTTTAACCTTGGTTAAACTATTGAAAGGTTGGACCTCGGTCTGACCTCGGTTCAACCGTGATCAGACCGAGGTTTGACCTAGGTTAACCGCGATTTTTGTTAGGCTATTTCTAGACAGTACTGTACCAGCTAATAAATTTGGAGTGCATATGCAGCATTTGCAATAGTACTCGACTATAAATTTTTACCAATAGAAGACAGTTCTTATAATGAATACTAATTCATTCTTTGTTATTAATGGTTAAATACCATAGAATACCATCTTATCTGAAGTAAAATCCTCCCGATATCGAGCTAGACGATAAATTTAAAGTTTCATTCGTATATATATAATAACGCTGTCTTTTCTTTCATGTAGGAAATAATGATTTCGTTTTATTCTTTGGTATATCTTATGAAGTAGCATCCAAATGGCAGCAAAACCCTTTTCAAAAGAAGAATTGAATTTCTTCAAATTTGCATCCATCGTTCACGATGAATTTCCAAAGATGTTACGTTGGACATTTGTGGCATTGTGGAATTCGAAGATTGCACCGTTGCCTGGTTACCAAGTTTGGGACGACTCACCCGCAGTTCGTACGCTTCTTTCGAAACGAGAAGGCGGTAAAACTGCCATACCAACCAATGATTCGTTCGAGGAATGGGATTGTACAGCCCTGTTCAAGGCAACTATTTACTCTAAGACATTTGGAATCTCTACGACAACAACGATCAAGACACTCAGTGATCAATTCATAAAGGGAAAGAAACCCAATCCTTTTCATGCCTCGCTGACCAGTCCAACTGGAAACCAGGATGAAACCATATCTTTAGCAATCGACCAAGTTCGACTGCTTAGAAATCACTTATGTCACTCGTCCGCGTCCAGCATAACAAAACCCGATTTTGATGATTATGTTCGACTTGCTAAGGATGCTTTTACCGCAACTGGATTCTCAACTGATCAAATTGATTATATTGGTGGTCTTGAGGAAGGAGACTTTCCAACTGAGAGAGTTAGTGAGTTGATTAGGGCTGTGCTGGAAAACCGCAAGTTTCTTGAAGAAAGGGTAGAAAATAGAATAACAGCGATTAATAGTGAGCTGGAGAACATCAAACTTAACCATGAACATGTTATTAAAAAACTTGATAGAATTGAAGAAAATGCCTATAAAGCCCCGGCTTCTCGAACAGGTAATAATAAAAATAGAGACGTTGTACTTCTAAATGGAAACTAAGGCAGATCTCTACCACGATATCTCAGTTTGCATGCTGTTTTCCTGAAACGCGGAGCTTAAACTCCCTGATTAATAAATTATAAATTTCACTAGTTTTCTGGAAAAAGAAACTTACTAGTTATTAGTTGGAAGGTTATGCCATTATTGCTATAATATAGCTAATATTAATTCGCGAGGAAGACGCACTATAAAATCTCTTAGTTGAAATCCAGCGTATGCTGTGATCACTCTTTGATATACAATTAACAAAATTTGGCATACAATTTTCCAAAAAATCTATATAACCATAATTTTCTTCTTATTTTTTCTCTTTCCCAGAATGTTCAGCAACTGGGGAGGGAAATCGTGGGTTCGAAGCCATTGATGTAAGGACTGATGGAGGTAAAATTGTATTCCAAATATCTCGACCTTTTCGAAAACCCCCCTTCGTCAGCCGAAGCCCTGAAAATTTTTCTCACAAATTTTTCTCACAAATTGAGGGTGATTGGGAATGAAGATCCCCGGGCACCACCTGCTCTGTGGTTCCCTTCAACTTTTTACGAAAAGAAGACTACATGCTGTAAAAATAAATTTCAGTGTGTCATGTATTTTTTTTCTCTTTAGAAAATAAACTGAAAAAGGAACATGAAAAGGTACAATTCTTATCAATTATTCGTACACATGCAATAACTATCCTGAAGTTAGAGCTGCGATTTAACGTTGTACGAATCATGCGTATCTATACAAGTTATTTTTGCGGCAAACATAAAGTCAGTTTGCTAGGAAGGAAAGTTACATGCATGTATATAACATGGTATAATTATAAAGAAGTCCTGCATACCTGGAGAAAAGCAATGTTTTCATAAAATACAACCCTTTATAGTTTTATATATCTTAAAACTATCTTAGACCAAACAGAACTGGTCAACTGTAACTAAAAGGTATACAACCTAAAGGGTATTTCTACACTTTTAAGCAACTCCAGCAAATATTTGTTTACTCATTTTCCATTATGTTGACCATGTTATTTTCTTTTAAGAATTCTATGTCGCCAAAGATACATAATCCGTCCAAGGATAGTGAGTCCCAAATAGAGTGCTGCATTCCAGACAAACCAAAAAAATTTGTTGGTCGTAATGCTATAGTAGAGCAGATAATGTTTTCCTTGGCCAAGGTTGGCTGTGGAATCGTCTCTATTGTCGGTGGTCCTGGTTTTGGCAAAAGCACTATTGCTATTGAAGTTTCTCATCAATTAAGCGATAAACCGCATAACATTGACGTTATTTTCTCCTTTATGTCACGTGCTTTTACAGTTTCCGAAGTAAGTAAACGTCTCTGTGGTGACATTCGTGGCGTCAATCCTGGCGAAGATCCTGAATCATCGTTGATGTATTGGTTGAAAGGCGTTCAGAAGAGAACTGTCCTTGTTATGGACAACATCGAGCAGCTGCTTGAAACCGATGTGAAACCTGAGTTTGTTAACTTTGTGCTTACGCTCCGTAAAAATTCACGGCAAAAACTACAGATTCTAACAACGACAAGAACCGAATTCTCGATTTCTGGGGTAACAGAAAACTATCAAGTAAAGGAGTTGGATGAAATATCTAGTGTCGAACTTTTGAAAATGTATTGCCCTAATGAGGTTGAAAAACCCAATTATTTGTCTGAATTGGCTAACCTGTGTGGTTTCGTTCCTCTCGCCCTGTGTATCACAGGAACACTGATTCCAGATCTTGATGATCCTTTAGAATTGATTCAATGGTTAAAAGAGGAGCCTATGGAAACATTGAGAAACTGTGAACAGTGTGTTCAACAAGCTATCGAGTTTTCTTTTAAGAAGTTGAGTGTGGAAGATCAGAAGGGGTTCGTTTGCCTTTCAGTATTTGATGGCAATTTCCAGAGAAAGTCTGCTGAGGAAGTAATTCAGAAAAATGGGCCGAAAACTCAAAGTTTCTTGAGAAATTTGGTCAGTCGAAGTTTAATACAAAGTACTAGTGATAAACGTTTTGTGATTCATTCGCTCATCCGACGGTTCTTGACTGGTCATAAGCAATATCAGAATGAAAAGACAATGGCACAAGGACTCATGGTGAAGCATTTTCTAAAGATGTGCCATTCATTGACCATAAAGTGTTATTCACGTGACGCCGATGACGGGTTTACAAGCGCCAGGGAATCGCTGAAGAAGGATATCCACAATGTCGAGGAGACTCTTAAAGTCTGCAGTCAAGATCAGGCGGCCAATATTAATCCAAATGCCAGTGAGTTTTTGGCAGGTAGTGATATTTACAAGTCTTCATACAGGTTTTTTCACAACTTCAGCTGGGATCTTCTCACAGAAAAGGTTTTAATAAATTTCTCGAAAGCTTGTATTAAACTGGCCGAGCGTCTACAGCAACCAATTATTAAGATCACATTTCAATATCAGATAGCAGATCAAAAAGGTCATGGTTGCGGATGGAAGACTACAGATCAAGAATACACCAACCAAGTTGAGATAATCAAGGCAGCGTATCACAAAAATAAAGCATTACTAAAAGAAGATAGACACCTATACATGTCTTGTAACTATTTACTCGTTCGATATCACTATAAAAAGGAAAAAGAATGCCTGCCGGTTGACCTTACGGAAGACGACCTTACGGAAGACGACCTTATGGAAGACGACCTTCCTTCTTTGCCTGAAATCAAGGTATTAAGTACTATCAAGAAAGCGGCCGAGACCCATGCTCTAATGAAGCGTGGAAACTTAAGCAAACTGCGTGCGAATAAGATGTTCCGTGTGGACAGGGAAAAGTATTACAAATACATGCACATTGCAGAATCATCTTACAATCAGGCGTTGTCTTTAGCAGAAGAGCTTTTCGGAGATCACGAATTAACATGTGCTTTGAATAAACTTTTGGGTGACCTATTCTCCAACCTGCACAAAAACGACGAGGCGCTGACATACTATACCCATGCTATAAATCTCTACAAGAGACTAAAATTCGATTCTAACGAACAGTTTGTGATATTGCTCAAGAATTGCGGGGCGTGCCTTTCTTATATTTATAGTTTTGATGAATCAATAGCAATGTTAGAGGACGCTCGTGACATAGCTGAAAAGCTCGCTGAAAAGCCCACCAGTTGTAAAGCCCTGGTATATAGCCAGTTAGCAATAACTTCTAGTTCCAGAAAATCTGATTGCCCAAAAGCCGTAGAATATGCAAAAAAGGCAATTGAGATGCAAGAGGTGTTGGACTGGCGCTACGTAGAAACTATGAAAAAGATTATTAAACAGTCAGAGGAAAATGCGGTGGTACAAAGTATTATTGATTCATTAACAGAAGCCGGCAATGTTCTGGCAACTGATGTAAGGCCTCGACTAAAAAGCTGCATACCCGACCGAAACCCAAAATTTACCGGCCGTTCCAGCATAATTAAGCAAACAAAGTATTCCTTGGTGGACGCTGGCTGTGGAATTGTCTCCATTGTTGGTGGACCAGGCTATGGAAAGACCGCTGTTGCAGTTGAAGTTTCCCATCACTTGAGCAAAGAACATGACATTGTCGTCATTTTCTTATATCTGTCACATGCTTCAACCGTTTCTGAGGTAAGACAAAGTCTTTATCATAGCGCTGGCATCAATCCTGGAGAGGATCCTGAATCATCGTTCATGTTTTGGTTAAAGAGTATTCAAGAGAAGGTTGTTCTTGTGATGGACAACATCGAGCAGCTGCTTGAAGGCAAACGGAAATCTCAGTTTATTGAATTAGTGCGTACCCTCCGCAAAAATTCACAGCAACGTGTGCAAATCCTAACAACAACAAAAACCGAATTTGTAATCCCGTCGCCAAACGGTATAAACCATCAGATAGAATACTTGGACGAAAAATCGAGTGTCGAACTTTTGAGGAAGTGTTGCTCTAGTAAAGAAATTGAAGATACATACTTGTCCGAATTGGCTAAGCTGTGTGGTTTTATTCCTCTCGCATTGTGTATCGCAGGAACACTAATTCCAGGTCTTAGCGATCCTTCAGAGTTGATACAGTTGATGCAGTGGTTAAGAGAAGAGCCTTCGAAAGGATTGAGGAGTTCCGACCAGTGTATTCTACAAGCCATTGAATTATCTTTTCATAATTTGAGTGATGAAGATCAGAGAGCGTTAGTTTGTCTTTCGGTATTTGATGGGGATTTCCATACCAAATATGCGGAAGAGGTAATTGGAAGAAGTGACTTGGAAACCCTTGAATTTTTGAAGAGTCTCGTTTGCCGAGGTTTAGTACAAGAAAAAAGTGATAACCGCTTTGTGATTCATTCACTTATCCGACAGTTCCTGGCTAATCATGATCAATTTCAAGATGAAAAAATAGATGCCCAAGTGTGTATGGCTACGCACTTTTTAAAGATGTGCGATTCCTTGGCCATGGATTATTATTCGAAAAACGGATATACTTGCGCCATAGAAACATTGAGGAAGGACACCCACAATGTCGAGAGAACACTACAAATCTGCTCCCAAGATCAGCCAAACAACCTGATGCCAAACCTGTACGAGTTGTTAACACGTAGTGATATTTACAAAAATCCACCTAGCTTCTTTTATAACTTCAGTTTGGATGCTCTTTCAGAAACGATTCTAAGAAGTTTTTTTGAATCTTGTATTAAACTGGCCGAAAGTCGAAAGCAACTAGCCATTGTGATATCGTTTCATTGTCTACTCGCATATCTGGAAGGTCGTAAATCGGCATGGAAATCTTCTGAAGTCGTCGACAGAATGGAGAAGATCAGGTCAGCTTTTCACGAAAATAAAGCGATGCTGAAAGAGCAATGGTCCTTGTTTTTGTTTTGTTACTACTTTCTCACGCGCTATGATTCAAACAAAGCAACAAATGCACCGCCAACTGATCTTTCCAAACTTGATTTTCTGACAATACCTGATTTGAAAGCATCAAGTATTAGCGAAAGAGTAGCGGAAGCACGTATTGTAATTGAACTTGGAAATTTGTACAAGAAACGAGCAAATAACGCAATCAAGGAAGACAGGCAAAAATCTGATGAGTACATGAACAAAGCTAAATCATTTTACAACCAAGCTTTGTCGTTTGCTAGAATGTCGTTGGACAACCACGAATTGACATGCATTCTTCTTAAACTTCATGGAGACTTATTTCTTAACTGGCATAAAAACAAACAAGCATTGGAATGTTACACTGATGCCATAAATCGGCGAAAGGAAATAAAAATCGATTCCAACAAGCACTTCGTGTTCTTGTTGAAGAATCAAGGGGCGTGCCTTGCTTATCTTCATGACTATCATGAATCACTTAAAACACTACTGGAAGCTTACCACGTAGCCAAGATGATATCTGACAAACACAGCCTTACAACCCAGGTATATGATGAGTTGCTGAAAACGTGGGGTCATTGGAAACGCACTGGAAAATAAACAATATGTTACTTCTCGTTTCTCGTTGATAACTCGTTTTTGAAAAATTTACCACAGAAAAAAATTAACATTATTCGGTCACAGTTTTGCACGGACAAATGCACAGGACATTTTCGAATCCACGTGATTTTTTTGCGCTCAGTTATGTTTTCAGCCGTGACCGCTCAGTTCATAGTTTTAGATACGTTGGTAAACAAATCAACCGGTACAATGACTATGAACAACTACAGAAATTCATTGGAAATTTGGATTTGATATTGATACAGTGAACCGGTGTTTACATGCAATTACACTGTACATTAGAGTACTGCTTTGTTATTGAACGAGCATGCGCGAATTTCATTATAATTATTCATAGGCACAAAAACGGGACCTTCATGAAAAACCACGTATTAGTCATTCTAGCTTCCTGTAAATAATAATAATAATAATAATTACAGATTTATATTACATGTTAATTGTGACCATGCTATCATCATGCATATTTGGTATTTTAATTTTTTGGTAATTTTTGGTACACTTTTTGTAATTACAAATTTTTCGCAATATTTTTGATAATGCAGAGTAAATTGAGTAATCATTTAAAATTTCATACAATTCGGTTTTTGGATGTAATTTACTGTAGTTGCGATTTCGTCCGATTTAGTAACGGCTAACGTTGATTAATAACAGAATGTTTTTAGTTCACGATTATATTTTTCACTACTTTAGTAATTTTTTGGACACTCGCTTGGTAGTTGTCTTGGAAATCTGGTCACACAGTGTAAAGGTTACAATTTATAGCCAACAGAAGTTTATATTGGGCGAAGAAATGGCCGTTTGCGGTAAAAAATAATATTGGTTGCAAAATAATGTAACTTAAATATTGAGATGTTGTAGTGGATCACAAAATATAGACTTTTGACAGAGGAAATGACGCGTCTGTTGTGAGTAATGAGTATGAAAGAATTCTAAAATAGCGTAAGTAATATTGTCATAGATTTGATTGCTTTATATTAATTAAATTCGCACTGATAGTAGTTAGAATATTCTTTGCTCTTTCATGGGTAAATATATGTTTAATAAAATCATACAAAGAGTCGGAAGAGAAGATTTAATCACATATTTATAATTTTGCATCGTAAAAGGTGATCAATTCCTGTTCGTCGTCGATTTGTCCTGGGCGTTCGCTTCCGTTTCTGCGAAAAAGAAATAAAATTAGAACGATCTATAAAAGGGCCTCAATAAGCCAACAAGTAATGTCCAGGGGCCACAGCCATAGGACGTGAAAATTCAAAATCAATCGTGTGTTTACATGTACATATGCTTGATTTTGTTGACCTGATTTTGGCGATTATTATGTAGATGTTCGTGTATTATGATGATTGATAGTGCTTGTAGTTGATGTTTCCCGCATATATCTCGACTGTTATTTACATGCAGCTTAATTATTAAACCTGACAGAATTTCTGTGTGTGGGGAGACCCAGGTATTCACCCTGGCATTATAAAGATTAAGAGATGAGAGCAAGCTATCAAAAGAAAGGACAAAACGAAGTCATGTGTAACATAAGAGACTTTCCCTTATCTAACTTGTGTGATGTACACTCTGCAGATAGTAACCCTAAAATTTAAAATCCTATGATCCCAACTAGGAGTTGAATAAAATTATCATTACATGTCACAGACTTACAGGATCTAGGTTACCTAATGTAGTACTTAAGTACTAGACTATTAGACTATTAGCATATATATTTAATTGCCTCTCATCCTGCATGGTCACTTAAACCATGTCACATTGTTTCTATACTGAATGTTGCATTTCTGCTCTTAATTGGCCTCTTTTCAACCATGATCCAAGAAATTAGAGAGCAAGTTAATGGGTCATTTTTGGAATTCTTTAGCTAGAGGGTTACAATTACCGCTAGTCATTTACTATTATAAAGATTCTTAGGATTTATGGGAAAGTAGTGGGTTGACAAAGTTTAAGTTGAACAGCTTTTTTAACTCTCTAAAGTACAACATATATTAAATAACTGTTCGATGACTATTGTCTACAGTTAAAGTCCCACCAGGCATCTGAGAATTAAGCTGGTTTCTGAAATAGTACTGCATTGTTTCTACTACCAATAATTAAAGTATAGTACTGACTGCTTGACTTGTAATAATATAATAAATGACATTTATAACACAGTTAATAAAAATGAAATTCCTGCATGAGCAAGAGTAGACTTTTTTCATTCTGGGAATGGCTAGATTTTTCTTTGATAAATTGCAATTTACTATTGCAACAATATGAAAACAGTATAAAACCATTTGTAACTATGTCAATAAGTTTTCCTTTCAATTTTAGACATTAAAAGATTGGATTGGTGATGGATGATGAATCGCTTCCATCCTCAATTTCAAATGTTCCAGAATATAGAGATGACAAAACTGTTATCTATGTCGTTGGTGATAAAACTGTTATTAATGTAATTTCAAGCCCTGAAGTAGATGGTAGGTTTACTGTACATTGCAGATATGATGAAATTTCCTACTACAACAAATGACCAAAATTAGCATGCTGCCATCCTGAGCCTACCACCCTATGTAGCTCATCTGCCGTTGTTTTACTTGTCACTATGCAAGGCTTGTATTAAGAGGTCATGTTTGATGAAAAGCGTGGTTAATTGCAGGGTGTAAATTGTGTGAGTAATATAATAGTGAATGTTTATTGAGGCAAAAGGCACTTGTGTTGTAGCACAAACAACAACAAAGATAACAAAGAAACTTTTATACTAATATCTACTAAAATGTTTTCGATTTTGAAAAATCTGCTGAGGTGATTATTACGTAATAATTACAGGTCACTCGACCAATCAGAGTCCGGAATTTTTAAAACTAGAAGTAATCACAGATTTGACAAGTGCGTTCTGTGGTAGGCTGGTCGGTATAAATGCATGACATACAGAATATCCTTAAAGCCTAAAGGTGGGATACGGACGATGAACATACGCTTCCATTTTGAATCACGGCCGTACGTTTTCTAAAATAGCAAGAACATTCAGAATATATGACACGCTTTTAGTTCGCTATACTTCTATATGAATATAATAAGAGAGAGAGTTTATGTTCAGAGATATAAGAAACACGCCGGAATTTCAATCGTTAAATAATTAAACACTGCGAGATAGTGTTGCGAGATAATTACAAAAAAGTGATTAAAAAGTGATTAAGAGCTTTACCAGCCCCGGATATAAAGCACGTTAAATTAGGACGGGGCCAAAATCCGGAAGTCGAAGCGAACGCAAAAACACGAAAGCGAGGCAAATGGCACACAAGAATCCCCAAACGACATAGCATCAAGTCGTGACGTCATTAATTATCATCCATTCTATTTATTTGATTTCATTTGTTTTCATTCAGGTAAAAGCCCTGGAAAGGTAGAGGAAGAATGCCAAAAGGTACATTGCATATACATATTCATATTGTACTATAATACCGTAGTTTGTTCATATTTACCTTGTCAGTTCCATGTGTGCACATAGTGCCACCATGTCGAACATAAAACATGGTAAGACTATTGGTTTGTAAAGGAAATCTATAGAGGACTTTCTGTTGTGTAACTTTTGCCCTTTTTTACAGGGCAATGTAATTTTTTCCATGCAGTTCCTAGTTTTTGGCTAGTTCGATCTGACTCACGAACTCGTTAACTGCAAGACTTAACACCTATATAAAGATTAAGAGATACGAGAGCAAGCTATCGAAAGAAAGGACAAAACAAAGTCATGTGTAACATAAGAGACCTTTTCTTATCTAACATGTGTGATATACAGATAGGAACCCTAAAATCTGCAGATAGTAACCCTAAAATTTAAAATCCTATAATTCCAACTAGGATTCGAATAATATTATCATTACATGTTACAGACTTACAGGATCTAGCTTACCTAATGTAGTATTAGCATATATATTTATGCCTTGATACTCACGAGCTCGTTAACTGCAAGCTTCAACACCTATAATGTCAACTATAACGCAGGTCAGTTATTATAGAGGCCACAAGAATAACGCAGACAAATCATGGCCTTGAATTTCACCAAAAAAGAGCACAATTCTACAGCAGGTCATTTGCACCTTACTAAATGTATATCCGATTATAATCTGTGCTGTAAGGAAATTTGAACTACTGAAATCCAATCCAATCATAAAATAGGTCCGTAATTTCAACCTCTCCGAATGAAAATTCTGCGCAGCACGTTTTTTTTGTTAATCGCTTCGCCATTTTAATATTTACAATACGTTTCTTTCTATAATTGTTTTTGAAATAAAGAAGACAAAAATTATTAGGAGTAAATAATAAGAATAACATCTAGAAGTTAAAACAAGCATTATATAACTATTAGAATTATTTACATGTGGGCAGATTGTAATATACTGTATATGCTTTGTCATTTAAGCCAAATAATTTAGGTTTAAGTGTAATACGAATATTTATACAGGATAATACACTTCAACTAAAAAAGCTGGTATCAATGTGTGTCCTAGCTGTTATCCTAAAAAGTATAAAAAAGCAAACTAGATTTAAAGAGCTTTAAAAACTATATGTACATTAGGTTGACTAGTTGATTGATTAACTAGTTGATTTTAATACCATATTTAGAACCGTTTATAATTCATTGAAATGCTCCGTAACCCTGTTTTCAAAATCCCGGCTGCTCTCAATCTTTCTTAATTCTATAGGTAGGTCATTATAAATCTTAGTTCCCATAAAATAGAAAGATTTACGAGCATTAATCGCTGGTAGTTTCATCATATTGTTATTGTCTCTCGTTTCTCTGCCATAATGCTGAACTGTGAAGTAGGAGTTTTAAAATATCACAAATATCATTATCAATGCATTTATGCACCAGTTTACATGCTCTTAATTTGTTCGCATTTACAGCAGATATAAGATACATGTTGTTCACCCGCCTTTTCCCCTTTGAACACAGCGGACACAAAGCGGTCGTGTAATGATGAAAGTCTGGCGAGCTGCGTCCGACTCAGGTTTAGTTGTAGTACGCCACAATACATAAATATGGGCATGATCATCGTGCGATAAAAGGTTTTGGCCGAAGGTAAATCGAGAAAAGATCTTATCTTAAGCAAGAGCTTCAACCGTCCTGATGCTTTCTTGAAACTTCAGTTTTCAAACTTAGAATTCAAACTTAGTAATCCATCCACTTGCACGCCAAGATATTTATAATCAGATGTACTCGTTATTATAGTCGGCGCGGGGCATGGTACGGAGACCTCAAGTGGCTCAAGTATATAGTTTCCTTGATGTTAGAAACAATATAGGATATGACAATATAAACGGTCAACTATCGATTCCAAAAAGAATGACAAGTGGAGTTCCACAGGGGTCCATCCTGGGTCCTCAACTATTTCTATTTAAGAAATAGAAAACATTTTCCGTGTTTCTATGCAGTTATAGAAACACGCGTGGGAGTTTGGGAGAACGAAAAATAATTATTAACGAGAAATAACCTCTATTTCCTTTATAATATCAGTTGTATTTATAAATAATACTTTTTCAATACTGAAATTATACTAAAACAATTAGTCGCCTCAGGCTCGGTGATTACAAGCCTACACTGTAAAAACTGAATGGTTGAAATGACCAAAAAAAAAGGTTGCAACCATTTAAAATGGTTGTTTCAACCAATTAAATTGGTTAAAACCAAATTAAAATGGTAAAAATAACCAATAAAAAATTGGTAAAATGGATATGAAAGCTCATATTGGTAAAAACAACCAAATATATTTAGTAGCAACAAATAAAATTTGGTTAAATTGACCAATTACTCTTTGCGGTCGATGAAGTATATTTGTACACCTCTGGTTCTTTTTTTTATTGAATCCAATAGAATATGATATAGCACATTCTAAATCCTATAGAATATTCTATCGGACTTTTTATGATTTTATGCTATAGAGAATTCTATTGCTATATTCTATAGAATTTACAAATCCTATAGAATATTAAATTTTAAAGTTAAAATTCTCAGCAAAAATCGCTCCGGTTTTGGAAGGACAAATCACACATATTTCACTGTTAACTGTTTTCATAATATACCTGTTCGCGGGTAAGGTGGCGGGTGTTTTGCCCAAACAAGACCGCAAGGTCATGTGGGACTTGTCCAACCGACACGCGTTATTTTCAAATTTTGAGCGCGTCTTTGACTCTTTGTCATCCGTTCAAGGTTTTATAGTAGAATTTAGTGAGTTTTTCTTTCGTATTTTAACATAAAATACGCGTTATTTGAATTTGTCAATAAGTAGTCATGCGAAATTGGTGAAACAGGCTGGATTAATACGCGAGGAGATCCGGATTATTTGTGAATAGTGACTGTGATCGCGAGGATTTGTAATGTTGTCATGGCCATGTGGAATTTCTAAAGTTAATAAGAAAATAATCAAAGGTTCCATTCGACCATCTACAATTTCAACAACAACATGTGTACAGCTAAAGTATTATAATTCAGTGGTGAGTGTGTTTGTATATAATATATGTTTATATTTAAAATATTGACTATTTTTTCAGATCAGACTTTGTATGGCTGCTGGACCCTTTTTCAAAACTTTGTCCAGCTGTCACTTCACTCACTTGCCTATTAGTATTAATTAATATAAAATGCCCTCTATGTATAACCATGCACTGAGTCATTTAAAAGATTACTTTATTCACTCCATCAAGGCTTCAAGATCACCTTTAAGTGCAAGATACTTATGACTGATGCTGAATCAGAAATGGCAAGTATTATTGTATTTATATGCTGTCAAAACTCAACAACTGCAAATCCTACTTCTGGTGAATCATATAGATAATATAATATACCTTTTATTTATATCATTATAAATAGGACAATTACAACTAAAATTTATTTCTGTCAATGCTTTTGCAGTACATTTATAAATTCTATAGCTATTATATCATGGCATAATGCTAGGAGTGAATAAGGTGCTAAATGTTTAATTTTCATATTAACCGTTAAAATTTACAGATTTTCTTATATCCAAACATCATATTAACCAAAGGTCAAAATAGAGTTATAAAAGCAAAATTAAATGTAAAAGATTTGGTTTAGGCAATTATGGGCATGTCAAGGATGCAAGAACAACTTTGCTGTCATTCCATCCCTGGAAAAGCTTCAAATGCCTTTAAAGAAAAGGATGCAAAACCCCAACTCAACCCAGAGAAAATTAAGAGTATATGTGGTAAGTAGTATTGTTAGTAACTATGTGTGGAAGTTAATATATCTTATATACATATCTTGGTTTAGCTATTGTTGACTTTTACTTTTTCTGTGTGTAGAGCATCATTTCAATGCACATGGTTGAGATGCCGAAACATTGATTCAAAGAAGCCGTCAATGCTGGCTGCTCTGGAAAAGAACAAGAACAAAGATGTCCAACACATTATTGGTCTGTTAGAGGATTGTCACCCGAACAAGAAAAAGGTATCTACAGATATATATGTATATAATATACAACGTTGAAATACAGTATGCAAATCACATTTATTATGTTGCCTGCTGAATCTTGTAATCAAACTTATTTAAAAGAAATGGAAAACCATTGCATTTTCACTGCCCCACTGCTTCAGTTGGGACAGAAAAAGACCTGGCCAATTTTTTTGGGAAATTGGCCCTGTAAATATTAAACTATAGGCCATAAAAACTTAAAATATGCTCAAGTGGCTTCTTGTCTAGTGTAGGGTCTTGTTCTTTTGTGTCCCAGGATTTTTCCCATATGTAAATGTTTTATTTCCAAGCTTAGGAATATTAAGTTTTATAATTTTTAAATTTATTTTAGGATGACAGTGGTGTTGAAATTTTGACTATTGTCAAAAAAAGCACATCCCCGAAGGTGCTATTAACTGGATCTCTTGGTGACATTCACTAGACCTTGTGGCTGAAGGCATGGTAGCAATAAAGTTTAAGCAGTTTTCCATCTTAAATGAAGTTATGTGTTTGCTGACTGCATTGTATGTATCCAACGCAGAGAACCCTAAAGCTGGAGGTGGGTAGACAAAGAATGTGTTTCCTTCTTCTGGACCAGATATTACTACAAACAGACGGAAAACGGAACATTCCAATTGAATTGAAAACTTTTTACCCCAGCTTTGAGAACCTGGAAATGACCTAAGTATAGATGAATCCTAGTAAGATAAGTGTTTGCATGTAGTAACTTGTATATATGTGTGCAAATAACCATTAGGATAAATTATTTATTATATTAGATCTTTTATAATATATATGTGTGTATTGACAAAATTTGATTTGAAGTGCTTTGAATTTCAGGATAATTTAACCAATCTTTAATTGGTTAAAATAATTGGTCAAAAAAACCATTGCACATTGGTTACATTAACCAAATTCAATACAGGTTACATCAACCTATTAAATATTGGTAGATTCAACCAATATTAATATTGGTAATTTTAACCAAAATGAATTTGGTAAAAAAATAACCAAATTTTAATTGGTTGTCCTGGTTGCATCCAGGAGAACCTTTTTTTTTTGGTTGTTTCAACCATTCATTTTTTACAGTGTATATGTAATCACCTCGCCTTCGGCGACTAATTGTTAAATAGTCAACTCAGGCTTCACCTTCGTTGATGAATAGAAACACGCTTCTCGACCAATCGGCATGCGCGTGCTATGAATGTTATATTATAATAAAATATAAGCGATATGTCTCAAGGCACTAAACTCCTACATTTTGTTCTGACGATACCAAAATGAATTCAGGGAGTGACTACTGTAATTTAGAAAAAGTAACGGTCCTAGGTTGGTTTGATTTGCAAGTTTTCTGCTGCTTTTAAGATGTAGTGTAAACTATTGCAATGTTGTCTCTCTCTCGAACCGAACTGGCTGAAAAGCGTCGAGTAAATGTAGTTATTATTGACTGTGAAAAGTGAGAAAATAGAGTTACGGACATATGATTTCGTATAGGGCGAGTAATGAAACAAACAGTAATACACAGTGTAACTGATTTTTCATAGAAGTCTAATCTTTCATAGGGGTTTAATCTTTCGTAGGAGTTTAATCTTTCGCACATTATTATTAAAGTTCAAGCTATATGCACTCTTTTCGTATATGGCTGATAACCAACTAGGCTTTGCCTCGTATACAACCCAAGCTCACGGTTTAATTAAGTATTCTCTTTATTCCGGCTGCATGCCGACGCCATTAAGATAATAGTTTTTTACGACTGAACATCAGTAAATATCTCATCATAGGGTTTTCAAGACCTGACACCGTCGTTTGTTCGTTTTTTTCCATCCAAACCTCGGCTTTTTTGAATTGAGATATCATGCTCGGGATCATTCAATAATAGTTTATTTTTTAAGAGGCCTGGCGTAGAAACGTGAGGGGAAAAGACTATTGCATGGACATGCGAAGATTCTATTGATACTATGGCAAAGTTGCCCATAAGAATTTGCGCAAATGGTTTTTACAGTACAACTTTAGTTATTTCTGCATGTACTGACGATTAAAGATTTTACTGCACACTTGGGTTTTTGTTCCCTTAGAACTCAGGAATAATTTAATTTATTTACTTTTATGTTTCTACAATATATTATTTTCTTTTCAAGAATTGTACTTCATCAAACAAAAATCTGTCCAAGGATAACGTCAACTGGGTAACCGTTGGAGAAATAATCAGGATAATTAAGGAACCGGTCGCTTTGTACACTGGTCAGATCATAAAAGAATGGCATATGCAACTTTGCAGTGACCTACCCGGGCAATGCTCATCTCCTGATAGTTGCAAAACGAAAAAGAAACCTAACGACCTATGTTCCTTTTGCAAAAAATGGTACGACGAGCTTGCCAAATGCCATCAAAAAGACGACGAAGGACAGTTCACCAGCACTTGGGAAGAAAATTGCGACGCAACAAGTTGGCCGAAAGATCCTTGGGAGGTTGCCAAGTTCTTTATGCCTGTTCTTGGGGACAAAAGGGTAACCATCAAAGACGTCGATTCCACTGACTTATCTTCTCTTTTGGATGTCCTTTCGCGGATGGAAGATGCAGCATTTGTCTCAGGTAAACATTTAGATTGTCACCTCGTTGAAGAACTTTGTTCAAAGGTGAGAAACCCTTGGACTCTTGCAGCCAAACGTGAATTGGCCGACACCTTTCTTAACGATGCTTTTGATATTGTTAGTAATTTTGCTACTGAACTGGAAAAGGTTTTCAGTTGTGACGTAGTTAAGAAATGTATTGAAGATATCAGCGATTTGAAGTATAACGAAATGAACAATGTTACAAAAGAAGAGTATGACAGTTTCCTGCTCGTTGAATTAGGTGCAAATGTCACTCAAATGAACGATAGTAAAAGTTTAGCCAGACAGGTTATAAACAACCAAGAAGAACATTTGGAGACGCTCTTTAGTCAACCAAGTGATCGACAGCCCCAACTAAAAAGCTGCACCCCTGTAAAACCAGAAACATTCATTGGTCGTGACGCTAAAGTAAGGGAAATAATCACTTCCTTGGTGAAGAACAGTTGTGGAATTGTTTCCATTGTCGGTGGACCAGGCTTTGGCAAGAGCACTGTTGCAGTTGAAGTCTCTCATCACTTAATCAATGAGCATGACATTGTCGTTATTTTTTCGTTCCTGTCACATGCATCAACTGTTCCGGAAGTAATAACATGTCTCTGCCATGACGTTGGCGTTATTCCTGGAAAAGATCCTAAATCATCGTTGATGTTGTGGTTGAAGAGTATTGAGAGAAAAGTTGTCCTTGTCATGGACAACATTGAGCAGTTGCTTGAAAAGGGTGTGAAATCTAAGTTCATTGAATTGGTGCGTAACCTCCGCAAAAATTCACAGCAACATTTGCATATTCTAACGACGACAAGAACCGAGTTTTCAGTTTCGGGCCAAACCATCGAAAACCATAAAATAGGGGAATTGGATGAAATAGCTAGTGTAGAACTTTTAAAGAAATGTTGCCCCACTCAGGTTGAAAATGCAGATTTGTCTGAATTGGCGAAGCTGTGTGGTTTTGTTCCTCTCGCCTTGTGTATTGCAGGAACAGTAATTCCAGATCTTGATCATCCTTCTGAGATGATAGAGTGGTTACGCGAGAAGCCAATGGAAGCGCTAAGGAGCCCCGATCAATGCGTTCATCAAGCTATCGAGTTTTCTTTTCAGAAGTTAAGTGATGAAGATCAGAAATCCTTGGTTTGCCTTTCGGTGTTTAATGGGGATTTCGAAAGGAGTTCTGCGAAGGAGGTAATTCAGAGAAACCGATTTAAAACACCCGCATTTTTGAGAAATCTTGTTAGTCGAAGTTTATTACAGGTTAGTAGTGATAAGCGCTTCGTGGTTCATTCCCTCATCCGACGGTTTCTTGATGATCATGAACAATTTCAAGATAAAAAGGCAATGGCACAAGAATTGATGGTAAAGCATTTCCTGAAGGAGTGTCATTCGTGGACCTTGGATTGTTATTCCTACGACGGATTTACTCGCGCAAGGGAATCGCTGAAAAAAGACGTCCACAATGTTGAGGAAACTTTTAAGATCTGCAGTCAATGTTTAAACTCGAACATCCATGAATTATTGGCAAGTAGTGATATTTACAAGTTTTCATACAGATTCTTTCACAACTTCAGTTGGGATCTTCTTTCAGAAGCGATTTTAAGGAATTTCTTCGTATCTTGTACTAAACTGGCCCAAAGTCGAGATCAACCGGCTACTGAGATCATATTTCAATGTTTGGTAGCTGCTGAAGAAGGTCGTAGATCTGCGTGGAAGTCAGCCGAATACATCAAGCAAATTAAGGATATCGAGAAAGCATTTCACAAAAATAAAGCAGTATTAAAAGAAGATAGATTCGTATTCATGTTTTGTTACCAATTACTTGCCCGGTATTACCTTAACGAGGTACCAGATAGTGTACCTACTGATTTCACGGAAGACGATCTGCCTTCTCTGCCGGAGAACACAATCCTCGGTCCTATGGAGAAAGTGACCGAGGCATATATTTTAATGAGACGGGGGAGTCTAATCAAAATGCGTGCAAATAAAATGGCCTATGACAAAGAAAAGAAAAAAGAGTTATTGAACTGCGCAGACTTATTTTACAATCAATCCATAACTTTAGCGAAAGAGGTGCTGGGTGATCACGAATTAACTTGCGCTCTTTATAAACACTTAGGAGATCTATGTTTTAACTGTCATAGAAACGACGAGGCATTGTCATATTATACCGATGCCATAAATCTACACAAGAAATTAAAGCTTGATTCCAATGAACAGTTTGTGATGTTGCTTAAGAATTTCGGAGCGTGCCTTTTGTTTCTTCGTCGCTTTGATGAATCGGTGGAAACGCTGAAGGAAGCTTGCGACATAGCTGACAAGATCGAGAATACTCGTTGTCGAGCCCAGGTTTATTGTCAGTTAGCAAGAACGTATAGTAAAATGAAACCTGATTCCCAAGAAGCAGCGTTCTTTGCAAAAGAGGCGATGAAGATGCAAAAATTGTTGTATCAACGCGACGTGAAATCTATGGTAAATATTATTGAAAGAGCAGAGAAATATGTGGAAATAGAAAGTATCATCAAGCCAGTAATAGATATCATCAACGTTGAAGGAAATTGTCAACAGTCACGACTAAAAAGCTGCATTCCCAACAGACCACAAATATTTATTGGCCGTGAAGCTGAAGTGAAGGAAATAATATCTGCCTTGGTTGAGAATGACTGTGGAATTGTCTCTATTGTTGGTGGACCCGGCTTTGGCAAAACTGCTGTTGCGATTGAAGTTTCTTATCACTTAAGCAATGAACATGATATTGCCGTCATTTTCTCATCCCTGTCAAATGCATCAAACGTTTCTCAAGTAAGACAACGTCTATGTCATGACATTGGCTTAAATCCTGGAAAAGATCCAGGGGCCCCGTTGATGTTTTGGTTAAAGAATATTAAGACGAAAGTCGTCCTTGTAATGGACAATGTTGAGCAGCTGGTTGAAAGTGATGTGAAATCTCAGTTTCATGAATTATTGCTTACCCTTCGCAGGAATTCACACCACCATCTTCACATTCTAACAACGACAAGAACTGAACTCGTAATTCCTGAACAACCGCCAGTAAACTATCTAATGAAAAAGTTAGATGAAAACTCCAGTATCGAACTTTTGAAAAAGTGTTGCCCCAAGGAGGATGTTGAGGACGCATACTTCCCTGAATTAACTGAGCTTTGTGGCTTTGTTCCTCTCGCTTTAAGCATCGCAGGAGCGATAATTCTAGATCATAATGATCTATTAGAGATTAAATCCAATCATAATCTTCGACTGATTATCGAAGTCTCTTTTCAGAAGTTGTGCGAGAAAGATCGGAAAGCGTTGGTTTGTCTTTCAGTGTTCGATGGGAATTTCGAGACAAATTCGGCAAAAGAAGTAATCGAGAGAAGTGAGGCGGAAACTCTCGAACTCTTGGTATATTTAGTCAGTCGAGGCTTTATTCAAGATGTTAACGATCAGCGCTTTGTGATTCATTCGTTCATCCGACGGTTTTTATCTTTTCAAGACCAATTTCGAGATGAAAAGATAGGTGCACAAGAATTGATGGTTCGATATTTTCTAAAGTTGTGCCATTCGTTAACGATGGAATGCTTTTCTTACGACGGATACACTCGTGCCAGGGATGCACTAAAGAAGGATGTCCACAATATCGAGGAAACGCTAAGAATCTGCACCCAAAATGAAACGACGAGTTTGAATCCAAACATCCTTGATCTGTTAGTATGTAGTGATATTTACAAGTCCATGTGCAGGTTTTTCCATAGAATTACTTGGGATCTTGTGTCTGGAATGGTTTCAAGGAATTTCTTTGAAGCGTGTATTAAACTGGCCGAAGATCGAGGGCAGCCGGTTATTGCGATCACATTTCAATGCCTGGTAGCTGACCAAGAAGGTCATAGATCGGCCTGGAAGTCTCCTGAATATTTCGAGAGATTAGACGGCATCGCTGTAGCGTTACATGAAAGTCATATAGTACAGAAAGAGGACAGGTTCTTTTTGATGTTTTGCTACTCTATTTTCCCCCGGTTTGACTCTGATAAAGCAAAATATACAGCCCCTCCTGATCTTCCGGAAGACGTTAATTCCACGTTACATGAAAACGTGTTAGAAAGTCCTATCGCGAAAGCAGCCGAAGTATATTTCCTGATGGAGCGTCGAAATTTGAAAAAGAAGCTTGTATCCAATGAAGACAAAAAGCGCAACTCTGAATACATGAACAGTGTAGAATTATTTTACAACCAAGCTTTTTCGTTAGCCAAAGACCATTTTGGTGACCACGAATTAACATGCGTTCTCCAAAAACTGTTAGGAGACTTGTATTTAAACTCGCGCAAGAACAAAGAAGCAATGAAGTATTATTCTGACGCATTATTACTGCGCAAGAAACTGAAATTGGATTCTATCGAGCCCTTTGCGTTCTTGCTCAAGAATTGTGGCATGTGTCTTTCTTATCTTGGTCGTTTTGACGAATCAGTGGCAACGTTGAAGAAAGCTCGTGACATCGCTGGAAAGAACACCTATTGTAGGGCGATGGTGAATTTTGCGTTAGCGAAAACACATCAAAACAGGAAATCTGATTGCCAAGAAGCCATAGGATATGCTAAAGAGGCATTAGAGATGCAGAAATTGCTGGATCCGCATAAAGTAAAAGGATTGGAAAGCATTCGTCAAGGTGAAGAAAAAATACGGCGTGATAATCTCGATCAATCTTCTAGTTCTAACCGCTAATTCTAATTCTAATCTAACCGCTAGTTATTTTATGCATTCTTGTCAACGCTAAACAGCAGCAATTTTGCACAGTGGTCGTTCGTAAACCTGTCCTAGTCCCAAACTGTGATTCAAACTCATTCGTGATTCGATCTGGAAATTCTGGATGGACTTCGATTCATCTTTTCTTTAATTCTTAAATATAAATCCTTTATTTTCAACGTCCACTCGTTGAAAAGAATTGTTGTCAAATTGCGTTTAGAATATTCTAGAGTTTTTGCTGTTGTTGCATGAAAGGCTGGGTTTTAAAAAAAACATGCACCAGAAAACCCTGAGTTAGAGCGAATCACTTATGTGTTTGCATCACTGCGATGAACTGAGGAATGGTTAGATGTGCCTTTGGAGGCATAAGGGACTAACAGTAAAATTCTGGTAACTTCAAGGAAGACGCGCCAAAGGAAGAAAATGACATTACGAAGTTAAGTTGGAAATGTCGAATGGGGTAGTTTTGATTTCATTCTTTTTACATAATATTTGTATAGACAGGAAAGTATCCTGCAAAAATCACATCACGTGGCGACATTTGCGCACTCAGATGTGATTTTAGGTTTATATTTTGTACATGGAATAACAATTTGCAAACTGTCCTATAGCTTAAACTGTGCAACGGTTCTGCTTTTTATCGTTTTGCGCGTGCGCACAAGTACCATGACCATTGAACGTCCATGACATAGAATTTGAGCAACTTTGGATTCCGTTATGTTCTCAATACCCGGGTGTAATTAATTTCCCAGCGGAATTAGTGTTCGTTATGTGCACAATACCCGGGTGTAATTAATTTCCCAGCGGAATTAGTACCCTCGCAGGCTGCTCCGCGCCCGCTCGGGGTTAGCAAGTTTGCTTGAAATAGGTTGAATCTTTCTTTGCATATTCGCGTTTATTATATGTGTATAGAGATTTATGCACAGCAGAATGATGAAATAAAAATCCTATTTCACTGTGTAAATTAATTTCATGCAATTTGATTGGACGTATGATGTTTTTCACGCGTGAAAAGATGCCATGCACGGCTTTTGATTGGACGTGCGATATTCTTCACACGTGAAAAATTGTCGTATGTCATTTTGGCTGCAATTTGTTTACATTTTCTTTCAATATGGCGTCGAAATATAGGAGTGAGATTCAAAACATAATTCTCATATTCAAGATATTTTTACATTCAGCACATCTCAAATCTTTCGGAAAGAATGTCTAACTTCTATTGAACAAAATTACAAAGAAACTGAACGGTAATAAATATGTTTTCATGCATAAAGTTTCGATTTTGTTGTTCGCTGTGTTTTAGTATATTAAAAGCGTGTCGTTGTCAAATTGATCTCTATACACATTTAATAAACAAATTACTTCATGGTTGGCTCGTTTGTACGATTTTTATTATGCACTCGTTGCGAAGGATCGCAAACTCACTCGTTCGCTGCTGCGCTCACTCGTTCGTATTGCGATCCTTCACAACTCGTGCATAAAAATCGTGCGCACTCGCCAACCATGAAGTAATCTCTATTTATAAACTGATTAGAAGCGTATAGTAAATTTACCGCCTGTTATCAATGTGAGGAAGTGCAAAAAATCGCCGCTCGGAACGGATGTGTAGGCAACGTGAAAAATAAACGTTGGCTGGATTGCACTTCGACAACATTTTTAAATAGTGAGTACAATCACGTACATTAGTTTGTTGAAACACACTCAGCTGTCTGATCTATCTAACAAAGTAGGAAAGGTCCTGAGACCTGTCTTGGTCAGTTAGAAAGTTGGTGAGCAGCTCAGGATACGTGAAAGAAAACCGGTGTTAAGGCTAGTTTCCACTCAGAAAAAATCTCCTTTGGATCGGAACGGACAGGAAAATTTCCTTTGTCGGTGAGCTCTCTGGCGGCGTTTATACAAAGGAATCTTTCCTGTCCTGTCCGATCCAGAAGAGAATTATCGTGAGTGGAAATTAGCCTTTACTGTCTCAACAATGCGTTGTGTATCGTTTTAAGTGTGACCAGTGCGATGCTGGTTATGTCGGATACACGTACCGACACTTACATCAACGCGTTGATGAGCGTAAAACCACGATTGTTGGAAGGCATGATAAGGAAGCGCATGGACAGATTTTGGATGACTTGCTTGGGAGGTTCTCGGTTCTTCGAAAATGAGTTTGACTGTCTGGTTTTCGAAATGCTTTTCATTAAAGAACTAAAGCCCAGCTTAAATGGACAGTCGGATTCTATTAAATCTAAATTATTTTAATTAGTCCTATGTTGTACATTATACATGATTACACCGTAGCTTTTATCCTTTGTATACAGGGTGTATAAAAAAACTGCAAATACCACAATTTGTATGCACGAGATTATACATTAGAATTTCAATGACTGTGCAACTAATTACGCTTCTGGGATTTGAAAATACGTTTCCCAGGGTTATCAAAATAAGGACACAAAGTGAATTAAACTTATGAGTTCGATTACGAGTTTCGATTTGAGTTTGGGCGTACTTTAAAACAAGAAATACTCTTTGCTCTGTCGTTAGCTGAGCCATTCGTAATCGACCTAATTTTAATTCACTTTGTGTGCTTATAAATTAATTTTAGCGGTGCGCCGAAAAGATTTTAGGTTTTAAGCGTTTTCCCGCCAAAATACGCGACATAATAAAAATAATCAGGAAATCTTAGGAAATTTGGAAAATTTATCAAAAGCATAAATTAATTTTCCCATTTTTCTTCTGTCATGTAAAATCAGTATAAGATCGTGTAAATATTAAAATTTAGGTTTCCCTGGCTTGTCAGTTGTGCAATGCACAGTACCCTCTGTACATACAATGATTCTAATTTTTTAATTACACCTTTCACTTTTTGTGTCGAAAAGCAACAAGCACCACATAACGACTTTTTTTGGGTGTGAAATATGATAAATATGAGACTGGATAATTCTTCATATCATGTGAAAACCGAATTCAATAAATGTTTTATTATTTATTTAAAAGAACGAACATGTATTCCTCAAAGTTGCCGAACCTTTCACTTGAGGAAGCCATTGTGTTGATGTGACTAAAAAAAGTCGTATCACCACTGAGCTATATAATAATTCCTTCAAAATATGCATATTAACTATCACTAGCTAGTTGATATATTAACTATCCCTAGCTAGTTGATACATAAAAGCAATTATGATACATAAAAGCAATAAGGAATTATTATATAGCTCGTATCACACGTTATGACGTCACACGTTTGGATATGACGATTTCACACATGGCTATTAGCCAATCACAGACTGTGAATTATTTTAAATAAATAATTATTATTTATCCAATAGGAATATGGAATTTGAAAGTGGAAGCCAGTGGTGGAAGCGCTGCTAGCTGGAAACCTAGGCCCTAGCCCAGTGCTTCCATTTTCAAGGAAATTTCCTTTTCTAAGGAAATTCTACGGCCGAAAAGGAGAATCTGAGGAAGAGAAAAAATCTAAGGAAATCTAAGGATTTTTTTCCAAAGAGTCAAAGACTTAAATATTCATCTAAGTGGATATCTAAGTGCATTTTTGTGCCAAAGATGGTGTCACTACCTTTTTGAATGTTTGATCGAGTAAATTATCAGTTTTGGTTATTTAAAATATGTTTTTATCTTTCCCAGTTTTCCCTGCGTTTCCGAAAATGTAAATAGGCAAATGTAGTATGAACAGAAGCGATCTGCAAACGGACTTTACCTCATCTGTAAGTTGTAACCACTGATTCTGATTATAGTGTAACTAGCAACCATGGTTTGTAAGTAAATTTAATTAAATTTGATTTTGGGGTTGGGAGACTTTTGACAAAATTTGTTATTTTGGCAATTATTAATTAAATTGTTTATATTACTACTAAATCACTGAATGAGATTTCAAGGAAATAATGTTTGCTATCTAAGGAATTTAGAGAAATATTGAACCAAAAGATCAGAAATTTTGATTTTGAAAATGGAAGCACTGCCCTAGCCTCAAATTTCGGGATTCGGGAAGCCGATAAATTGCGATAATTCCGATAAGAGAAATTTTGAGTATTTCATATATATTTTTTCGTTTCACAATTGTACAATCATTGAAAATCTCATAAGGCATTACAAGAAGGCTTTATTTCGTTACATAGAATAGCTTGGGCTCTCGTGTAGAAATACAAGACGTATTTGGTGAGTATTTGGCATAATGCCACTATTAACTTCGTACAATATGTCATGTCCATAAACTCGAGTGATGACTAACTGAAATGTGGCGTAGTAATATCTTGAAGCATGTTTTGTTATATGTTAAATTAATAATTCCTTGCTTTTAATGTTGCTTAGTCTTGATCTGCTGATTCGTGTCAGTGTAGCGACAAGGCCAAACCTTCATTTTTTGGTATTATATACTGAGAGTAAAATCTCGTTTTACACTCTACTATATTACAACGTCCGACGTAGTGTAGCCTCAGCTATATTTTGTACCTTCCTAGTTATAAGTAGCACCGTCATGGTTTAATATCCTGTCGCGTAGACGTAGTTGCGAGTCGTTGAATACAAAATTAAGAGGAGATTTTTAAGAATATCGGCAATATGACAATATCGAGTTATCAGACATCAGTGGTAATTAGCGCTCAAAAATACCATCATGCCTTGCGCGAAAATGGAGCGATTTGCCCAGTTTGGAAAGTTGATTCGGTGAATTACCAGCGTTAATATCCCAGTTGGGTGCATTACGATTTCAAGATAAACACAAGAAATGAATTATCCGTAATAAGTTCAGTTTAGCTTGGGATATCTGCAAGCCTGACATCTTATTTTTGGACGAAAACGACTGCGACTATTTTAGGAGAGAGCCTAGAAGGAGTGATGTTTTGCTACCGAACTTTTCCAGGTACGGCTAATTTTGCTGCTTTTTAATGTCTCTTCAATTGTTCATTATTCCCCAAGAGTAGCTTATTTTGTTTTTTTGCCACGGATTCGTTGTATTCCTTTGTATATTTTGTGAA